GCCATCTAGGGACTCTGCAAGAGTCACCTCATTAGCATTAACTCCAGTATTGTTGAAAGAGTCTCCTTACGAATAACAAAAGACACTCCTATCAGTCAGGAAATTCCAAGGACTTGAGGAGCTTTGTGCCAGGATCCCAGGGCAAAGACCAGCTGTATATTTTTTTATTCTTCCACCGATCCCCTGATGTTCTTACTTAAATACCATAATTTCCAGATCTGGAGAGGGGAAGGTGGAGATATTCTCCCTAAAGCTGGTGTTTCAAGGGCCTCAAAGCCCTTAGGAAATTCTTTCTACCAAAGCAGAGTGTGTCTCTTGCTGCCATTCACTTGGAAGTTCCCTAGGGCTGGAGGGCCTTCCCTACAGTTTTCCTTTCTCTCTTCCTATTCTGCAGTCCTCAATTTTAGTGCTTTCTTCTCCCAGAGCCCCACAAGCTTCCTGGTGTGGTCAACGTGGAGTCCACTGCTCTTCCCTCTCCAAGTCGTCGGTGGTCTTGACTATAATACTCAGTAGAGTCTAGGTGAGACCATCATATCCTGCTTCCCCATTAGAGCTTAAAAAAGAAAGCCCAGACTCCTTACACTTGGGTTCAGTCCCTCAACTTCCCTCCCAGCCTTCTGTCTCCTCACTCCTCTGCTGTCCAGCTGCAGGCAGCCTGGCCCTTGGGTTGTTATCCTCCAAATATCCCAGGGCCCTTTCTACCTCTCCCCCCACCATCCCCCACCCCCAGATCAGCTTCTCAGCACACTTCTCCCTTCAGTCATGAACCTATCTGGCTGTGCCTGTGCTGGACACTAAAAGGGCCAAGGCACTGTCTCTCTTCCTCCTTGTTAACCACCTTTAGGCAGGTTCCAGATCCTCCATGAGGCATCCCTGATTGCCCTTGTCCACAGGGCCCCTTCTCTCCTCCCAGTCTCACTGGCTTGGCACCTGGTGCCACTTCCTCATTCTGACATCCTCGTGGGTTTCTAAATCTTAGCCCTACTTCCTCCATTCACTACACGTGTATTGAGTGTGTCTAGGTGGTGGCAGTGAGGCACTGAGCAGGACAACATGGTTCTCGCCCCCATGCTCCCTACCCTCTGGTGTGTCAGATGGATGTGACGGAAGAATGTGTACAACAGGAACACAGGAGAGTAGATGTTATGAAGGAAATGAATAAGTGCTGTGATGAGAAGTGGGGGTGCTACTTGGGGTGTCAGAGAAGCCTCCTCTCCAGCCAGGAGGTCTCACAAGGTCAGGCACTGAGTCATACAGGGCAATTCCTTTCATTAGAAAATGAGAGACTAAAACTTACCTGTTGATAAATTTAAAACTGTCCTTTGCATTTACTTCCAGCTACAGACTTTCTATATATATAGAGGGAGATTCAGAGTATCACTTGATTGGAAAGAGGGACTTGGAGGTGGGTCTCAGAGCACTTTATCCAAGACAGAGGCACCTCAATCCTCCAGCCCAGAGAATGGAAGAAGCTGAGGGGGATGCCCCCCCAGCAACCTTTGGCCACCTCATGGCTGTACTTTCATGACATTCTTCTGCACTATTCCATTCTGGTTCCATGTGAACTTGTTGCCCTGGAAAAACAAATCCATTGAGATAGAAATGTCACTGTATTTGACCACTTTGAGTCTATATGCCTAGCAGGTGCTGCCCTGGAGTGCTGCCATCAGAACAGCAGCCCCATTTTAGAGCAGTCTTGCTGAGCCAGGACTCATGCTGAGAGCTTTACATATATGACTGTTCACCCTTGTGAGAGCCTGCAAGGGAGTATTAGGGGGTCATCATGTCTGACAGGAGAGGACATCATGTCTGAGGTTCAGCGAAGTTACATAGCTGCTCAAATGTCACTCTGCTAGAATGAGGCAGAGCCTGGTTCGAATTCAGATCTGTCAAACTCCAGAGCCTCTCATCCTTAAAACCATCTGACCTTCAACTACTTGAAGTCCTCAGAATGCTTCCATATACCTTCCATTTTAAGGATGGAGGATGTAATTTAATTCTGTGGAATAATGTAAGGCAGAGCAAAAATGTTAACTCTACAAGCCGTGACTTGTCTGGAGTTACTAGCTACCATATTGTGAAGGTTTAGCATTTCCCCAGATGTCACTGCCTTAAAGCAGGTGCTGGGTGATCATAGCGGATGCTGGTTATGCTGGGGGTGGGGTAGCCCAGCTCTTAGAAACCTGAGAAGGAAGGGAGAGGGCAGCTTAGGGCCCAGAAGTGAGGTTTCTCCCCTCTGATCCCTCCGTTTTCTTCATCTAAAGGGTGGTTCTAATAATAGCATCCATTTTACAGGACAAATGATAGAAGTAACTTGCTTGGTCAGGAGGGAAGAGATTATAGTCAGAACAGGCCAGGCACACTCTGATGCTACTGCTCAGGCCACCATGTCTAGCAGGCACCTGCTGCTGGCCCAGCTCCATTCCAGGTGGTGCATCAGGTACAAGAAATGATGCTGAAGGGTGATTCTGACAAATGTGGCTGTGGCCTCTAGGGCTATGACAGAAGGTGAGAGAAGAATCACTGATGTGAGTTAGTTGTAACTCATTTGCAGTGTAGGTCAAGGGGTGGCCATGTTTGTAGGAGAGTGTATGTGAGCAGAGGAGTCTTGATGGGCAGTGAGAGGCCAGGATGGAGGGGTAGGAATGATGGTGGTGTCTGGGCTGAGCTGGTTTTATGGAGGAGATGGCATTTCAGTAGCTTGTAGAGGTGAGGATTGGAAGCACCGGAGACTCTAGGGGAAACAATTCTTTTTTTTTTTCTGACTGGGAAGGGGATTGTAACCCTTGGCTTGGTGTTGTCAGCATCACGCTCAGCCAGTGAGTGCACCGGCCATCCCTATATAGGATCCGAACCCGCGGCCTTGGTGCCATCAGCACCACACTCTCCCGAGCGAGCCACAGGGCCGGCCCTGGGGGAAACAATTCTGAGGCAAAAGTAGGATCAACTGCCCAGCCCTTCCTGCTCCTAAAGAAGGGGAAGAAGAAAGCAACTGTCCCATTTAATAGTTGAAATATAGCAGTAATAGGAGTATTAGTAATTAGGATATCAAATGTCCTAGCCTCCAAAAATATGCAGTCCATTCATTGTAGGGAATTGACTTGTTGGTATTAAACAGGAGGAGCCAAGATGGTACCTTAGAAGTCTGGGTCTTACTTCAGGATTTCTGCAGCATTCATTAGACTCTCAAGGAATCCTTTTAAAACTAAATGTATTAGTCCACATTCATTCACTCATTTCAAGACCGACAGCTATAACCTTAGTAATTTTCTTCTGTCTTTTTCTCCTGAAAAAGCCTGGGCTCTTGTCATTGCCCCACAACCTCTCAAATTCCTTCAGGACTAAGGTAACAGGAAATAGATGAATAAATGAATGAATGAATGAGTGCAATAATATACACAGACAAAATATTTATCTGGCACGCAGTGTCTCAGTGAATCTCCAGGAGGCAGTTGGTTGTGGTTATGAGTGGGCTCTGCAGTTGGACCGTCTGTGTGGGATTACAATCCTGCCATTTACTAATGTGTCCCCTCGGGCAGGTCACTCTGTGCCTGTTTTCACCTTTGAAAATTGGGGCTACTAATACCATCAAACACACAGGATTGTTATGATGAATGAATCCATTTAAATTCATAGTAGGGTGCCTGCCATGTAGTAAGCATTCAATAAAATTTGGTTACTGTTATCTTATTTCCTTTTTATTCACTTAACTCCCATACCTAGAGGGAGTTAGCAAAAATGAGTAAATCTGGGGAGCTGCAGGGCCTGGTCTAAAGGGGAGACTGATGTTAAGGGGAGTGTGCACCCAGTGCTGTGAGATTTTCAGAATCTTCTCCTGAGGAGTCTCACCCGAGGTTCCAGTATAGCTCTTTGAAAGGTAAAGAAAGACCTTTTACATTTTCTCCTGAAGACTCCCCCCCCCCCCCCCCCCCCCCCCCCACACCCCCCCCCCCCC